AACTTCCTCATCGATCTGAAAAATGCCGTTGACAACAACGCCTGGGTCCGTTTTGGACTGACTGATCACCACCAGGAGGGAGTTTGGATGTGGGACGATAACGTTCCTCTGGGCGACTTCAGAGCTTGGAGTCCAGGAGAACCAAACAATTCAGGTAACGAGGACTGTGCAGAGTACAGACCAGAATCGGACCACTACGAGTATTCTAACACATGGAACGATGGACCATGTACTCACGCCAACAGGAAGTTCATCTGTCAAGTCTCTCCATCAGGTAAACTCCAAAATGTCGACGTTTGCACTTTCCACTTTACTTCGAGCTTTTGAGAGTTGTTGGGCATGGGTATGGGCATCAAAGATAGGGGGGCCCGCAAGCCCTTTTCCATAATTCTACGTAGAGCGTAGACGGACCGCTCTAATATTTTGCGTAGAGCGTATTCGGCGTTTTAATTCTACGAAATGCGTTGTAGCCACTTGGAATTTATCGTAAAGCGTAATCGAGAGGTTTCCGAATTCAGCGTAGAGCGTTGTCGGGACACCCCCCCCCCTGCAGGCCCTCAGATAGAAGAGTCCCTCCATGGAGGTTGCTCGTGCAGCCCCTTCTCGGCTGGAATCCAGGCTAATCATATACAGCAACTGATGCATATGCCAAAATATAATTGCCTTGCTCATGTTTATGTCAATCAATCAACCTTATGTCATCAATATGGTCTATCTGTAACTGATTATAAGCGATTAGATCTTTAGCCTATGTTTGTTTCCCTAAGCCTTCTGGTTGATTTTCTTAATTTGGAAAACCTGAATGTAGAGAGTAGATAGCACGTAGAGAGAAATACACGTCTGCTTTGTCTTTGGGTAAAGGTACGTGGTGTATATTATACTTGGCTTTGAACATATGGGGTGGTGAAACTCTAGCTTATAGACTGGGGTTCTTCCGTTTCAGCAACAACTGCCACCCCGGCTGTTACAACCACCACGCCTGCTGTTACAACCACCACGCCTGCTGTTACAACCACCACGCCTGCTGTTACAACCACCACGCCTGCTGGTACAACCACCACGCCTGCTGGTACAACCACCACGCCTGCTAGTACAACCACTTCGCCTACGACCACAACTGTTATTACAACTAGGTCCTCAAATGACGCAAGCATCGTGACCACTACGATGTCACAGCCGGAGGATCCCACCAGTCCTCCCCCGACCACGTCGCTAACTACCAGCCGGCTGGGGGAGGGAGGATCCGCCGCCGCTAACAAGGGCGGGGCACCGGGAGGGGCAGTAGCAGGCGGCGTGACCGGAGCGATGGTTCTTGTGGGAGCAGGAATGGCCATAGGCGGGTTCCTGTTGTATAGAAAGAAGAAGAAAGTTGCCGTGGAGCCTACACCCTAAGAACAGGCGGAGAGCTCTTGAATGTACAATCACCAGTGTATCACTAACAACTAGTTTTCTAGAAACTCAAATGACAGTACAGACACAGTATAGATGAGTCCAATTTGTCTCGTTCGTATCTACTAAAGGTTTCTACATATATAAGTGCAGAGTATACCGGACAGTTTCTGACGGCCACAATGGTGCGTGGATGGTGTTTAGCACCAAGGACAGTTTTTTTTCCTGTATGAGGCATTTGCGTGTATGTCTTTGTGTGTGTTAATCTATGTTTAGGTGGTGGGTATTTCTCAGCGTACACCAGAGACAGTTGTGTTTCGTTGTGTTTTGATATTTTTCAGTACCATAGACATATGTGTTTCCTTATGTGTTGATATTTTTCAGTACCAGAGACAGATGTGTTTCGTTGTGTTTTGATATTTTTCAGTACCAGAGACAGATATGTTTTCTTGTGTGTTTATATTTTTCAGTACCAGAGACAGATGTGTTTCCTTGTGTGTTGATATATTTTTGTACTAGAGACAGGAGTGCTTCTTTGTGTGTTGATATTTTTCAGTATCAGAGACAGATGTGTTTCCTTGTGTGTTGATATTTTTCAGTATCAGAGACAGATGTGTTTCCTTGTGTGTTGATATTTTTCAGTATCAGAGACAGATGTGTTTCGTTGTGTGTTGATATTTTTCAGTGAGATTCTTTATTGACACAACAAAAAAGTACAGAGACTTTTGTATGGTCTTCTACAACTTAACTAAAGATCTAACAAAGCTAAATACATGTATGGATAACGTCATCTTACGTACAGAGTATATGTATAATGTAACAATAAAGGTTAACTATTCTCTAACATGTGTTCTCTAAGATCGAAACATTCTTTAATGTATTTTCCTATTTGAACACTGTATTGGTTATCTCCCCTGAGAATGTAGTTGCATTTATCTATAGCATCTAACGTATTGAAATCAATGGAACAAGCGGAAAGAAAGGTGAACAGCAATAGGCGCTTATCATTGTATAGTGTACAGTCCATTATAAAATGGTGCTCATTTTCAATCATGTTTGGACAAAATGGACAGAACCATTGGTCATTTGGTATTTTTCAGTATCAGAGACAGATGTGTATCCTTGTGTGTTGATATTTTTCAGTACCAGAGACAGATGTTTCTTTATGTGTTGATATTTTTCAGTATCTGAGACAGATGTGTTTGTAAATTTCGTCTCCATACTTGCCCGTGGCTTTACTAAAATTCAGTCAGTCCTAATTTGAAGGTCCAAACTCAATATGCCATTCTACAAAAATAAGATTTAAAAGATAAGAGCTAACAGTATCGTTATATGTATAGTGTCGTATTATGTATAACTGTTACTTTCACAGCATCATTTGAGCCTTCCGGCTACCAATATGACAGTCATTTAGCGTCCGGGTCGTTAGGGATTGGAACAGTCTACCATAGGCCGTAATTGACTCAGAGTCAGTAAATGAGTTCAAGACGTCTTGAACCTAGACAAATACTGGGAGAGCAAAAAGTATAACACTGAGTGAAGTCGAGATCGGGATCACCACAGGATTACCTCTCATCCCGAAGACGGTATCAAGGTATCAAGGTAATATGTGGTGTTTTTTTTACAGCAAATGACCGGCGAAAGTACAGTAAATTTACAGTAAAATTACAGCAAAATTTCAGTAAATTTTTCAACAAAAATTCTCTTGCCAATATGCCGTGTTTTTATTTTACATTTATCTGTTTGATCTTTCGCATACAAACTTGATTTACCAGCAGCCTCCTATTTATCAACTTGTCTCAAAGTTCTTTCACAGCAGGATCCAAGGCCATTATTACAAATAGAATCGACTGAAACTTCCCATGCTCATTAAATGGACACAAAACAACTAAAAACGACTCGGCTTATTCGATTGTCTGGTATAACGTTACACTCTTTCAGAACTGGAACAACGGTTTGACTAATCTCTTTATGCGCTGTGATTTTATAAGGATATTTCAATCTTAAAAGAAATGTAATATTGCCCTAATGTGTTTTATCGTTAGGCCATGTTGATTTGATTTTATGGATGACATCCTCCGGTAACCCCAAAATTGATGCGCGCGCGCGAATAAAAAAAAGTTTTGCAAAAAAAAAAGTTGTTTTCATTATGAAATGTACGTAGTTTTGAAGGTTTAACAAATGGCACAGAATATGGCGTGGCGAATAATCTAATCTTCAAGTTCATTTCTTTACAATTTCGTCTTTTTTCGTTTGATTTTTTGGATTTTTTATTTTTGTAACTCAGGCCATGTTGATTTGATTATATGGATGACATCCGCGCGCGCATGAATTTTCGGCCGTTTAAAAAAAAAAAAAGTTTTCAACCATACTGTAAATCGAACAAAACAGTTGCAAAATGAGCAAATATATAACTTAAGTTACAAAAAAAATTAATAAAAACTAATACCAATAGTCGTAGAATGCCAAAATACAAACGAAAAAAGAACGAAATTAGTAAAGAAATAGAACTTAGAAGACTAGATTATTCGCCAAACCATATTCTGTGCCATTTGCTCAAACCTCATGACCACATAGATTTCATAATAGTAAATTAACTTTTTTTTGCAAAACTTTTTTTTTTATTCGCACGCGTGCATCAGTTTTGGGGCTCCCGGAGGATGTCATCCATATAATCAAATCAACATGGCCTTACCAGCATTTTCGCAGGACGTATTGTACCTGAGTGAAACTCGGATTTCTCAATGCTTGGTCATAGTGGCATCAGAATTTCGCCTGTTGTCTTTTAATTTAAAAAAAAAACAAAACTACAGACTGGATGTTACAAATACACAAATACGAGAAGTAAGACCAGTTGTGCTATGCACAATTAGTACATTACGGGTTTCGCCAAGCGCAGTACGTTCTGCTGA